TTATTAAAATAAAAAAATATATATTTTTTTATTTTATTTTTATTGCATACATTTGAATGTATAGTAATAATTTAAATATCTAATTATTTTTGCAGTACCATTTCATTTATTTAAATATTTAAAAGTTATGTATATAAGTTATTTAAGTAAATATTAAATAAGTAAATATATTATTACGTAAAGTATTTAAGTAAATACTTTTTTGTTTAAGATAATCAAAAAACATTAAACAAGTATACATTCATCTTATTCATGCATCTTATTACAGCTTCCTTATTACAAGAGTCCGAAATCAAATACATAGTTTTAAGTCTTCAAGGAAAATGCAAAAGAGAGGTTTACTCTTACAAAATTAACATGTATGTGTAAAATATTTAGCCAGGAACAAATAAGGTTGAATATAAAAAAACGGGACTTTTATACTGGCGGTCAAAGGGCGGATGCGACAACGTCATCGACTTCCGCATGACACGTTTTCCGTTCACTGGGTTCTACCAAGTCCAGAAACGGGGGAGCTAGTATTTATCACATACCCAATAATTTATCTGCGCTAAAATATACACAAAAATAACAAAGTAAACAAAGCATAAGGCAGTAAAACTACTTTTATAGTATTATGCATGGCTTAGAATGAGTTATCTTTTGCTAGAATTCAAAGTTTGTTTACACGTGCTCCCCTACAGTGCAGAAAGATTAGGAATAAAGCGCCAAATCTGAAAACACGGACAGGAAGAAACACCCGTATGTGAATGTTGTTAATGTAGACTATGTAACTACTGCTCATCCATCCAGGTATGTCAAATACAGAACTGTAGGGAAGGGAATATTAATAGGGCATTTTGTTGTATTTGTAGGTTAATATTGTTTGCACAATTTTGCGCAAGAGAGTAATGAGCGCAAAAGAAATGGTTTGAACGCTTGCTGAATGCGTGTTATATCAAGACCACGTGAGCTGTCAAACAGCCGCGTCCTAAAACTTTCTTCTAAAGTAGTTCTTGTATAATTATTATTCATGCAATTTTATGAGCTCGAGAGAATGCATGAAACATTTGTGTTTTCATAAATACTTTGTCAAGTGCAAAAAAAAAAAAAAAAAAGATTAAATGGGTTTTAAAAAAGGTGATAAAAAGTGTAAGGGTTATCATTATCTCTATAATGATTTATTACTTCATTATATGTATTATATTTACTTGTTTTAATTATAAGAGAAGTAATCTAGTTTCGCTCTACTTGCATAATATTTGAATCATGTCTTTTAAGTATTTTCAAAACGTAAAAATGTTGAGTAAATGTAATAGAAATTAAAATAGAAAACGTCATGTAACTTTTAATTCATTTAATTCATACTTTTGTTTTGAATGAACATGAACTACAGATCAGTTAAGCATTATATAATTATTCATGATGTTCCCATCTTTATGACAAACCTTGAAATATTTGGGATAAATTGTGTGAGGAAGTTTTCTAGTCAATATATCTTTCTAAAGTTGATTCATTCAATTACTTTTACAAAACCGGCTTGTCTAGTAATCACAAATGACTTGAAAGGTCATACATTTGTCAGAAGGTGTGGAAATCATGAATCAATCACTTAAAATAATTAAAAAGGTAAAATTTTTTATAAATTCAGGTTATAAATTAATTTAAAATACATTAAAAACACTCTCCGTTTACTATGTGAGTGACGTGACATGTGGCCAAGTATGGTGATCCATACTCGGAATTAGTGCTCTGCATTTAACCCATCCAAAGTGCGCGTGTACACACACACAAACACACACAGCCAGCAGTGAACACGAACACACACCCGGAGCAGTGGGCAGCCTGGGGCTCGAACCCGCAACCTTTGGGTTACGAGTCCGACTCTCTAACCATTAGGCCACGACTTCCCCTTATGATACAAGTGTATGAGTATGTAAGGTTTTGAAAAGATGAACTGCGATTTATGTACAGACCATCATCCACTGCTCTCTTGCAGAATACTTCATGTCTAAGTGGTCCGGTTCAGTCTTCAGATGAACATGATGCTCAGTCAGGATCAGGTGTCCTTCATAGGACTGGCGTTTGAGACTTATGTAATGGAGCACCACAAGAATGACATCCTACAGATCTTCCAGGAGGCCAGTGAAGATGCTCACTATCCTGTTGTAGTGAATGCCATGACCTTATTCGAGGACAATATGGAGGTTGGAGAGTGTTTCAATGCGTTCCCCAGCCAGGTGCTGCCTGTATTTGACAATGCCCTGCACAGAGTAGCCCAGACCATATCTCAGTCTTCTTCCTCACCGCAGGAGAGTTTCAAACTCAAACACAATCTGCATGTTCGTATATCAGGTAAGCATGTATAAGAGCGTCCACTCTTTTACACTGACACTTGTATCAGGACTCAACAACCAAGATTTTATATGGTTTCAATTTGTGCAACTTCCAGACCAGCCTGACACAACAACCAATAACATAAACTTGGGGATTCTTTGAAAAACCTGTTTGGGAAAAAAAAAATTCTATTAGCTAGTGGTGCAGAAACTACACACTTAATCGTCAAATTATTTTGGGAAAAATACAAGGGAAAAAAGTACAACATATTCCAAATCAACATTAAAAGAGGAGAATATAGAGTAGAATAATAATAGGAAAAATAATCAGTAACACTTTACAATGACTATAATAACAATTTTATTATTCAGTTTTGTAGATGTATTATATTAATTTGTTTTAATTGTAAATAAAGTCATTTCTACTGTCAACTAATCTTGTTGAATCACATCTTTCATTAATTAGTTAAAAAATATTTTTTCATTTATATTTAATTGCTGCCTTATAAAAATGCTTATAAATTATCATGTGTATATATATATATATATATATATATATATAGGATGCGGGTAACATGTTCAAACCAGACCACAATATCTGCATTGGTTGTGATGTCTCTCAGACATCTTAGTACTTGTTGGTCTCTTTATATATTGAATAATATCAAATTGCATACAGTTAAAGTTGCAAGCTGAGTTGTGGCCTAGTGGTTAGTGTATCATTACTCTCCATAAAAATGGCAAGAAGTATTTAAAAAATAAATATAACAGCTCACACTGCATTATGATTTATGATACGTTTAGTTCTTCAGTTCATATATAATTGATATCAATTTTATTATAGTATTATATATATATATATATATATATAAACTTTAGAAAATTGAGTTTTTAATAAATGTTAAATATATATATATATATAATGATTATATAATATTTAATTATTAAAGTTTATAAAACCTATTTAAAATGTAAGTTTATAATTATTTTCTAATCTAATCTCATTTGTACAATAAAGTTTGAATCATATCTTTCATTTTAAAGTATCACAACATAATTACAGGATTATTTCCTTATGTAAAATATCATTATAGTCGATATACAACTATATACATATTTATAACTTTTACATTTCAAAAACAGATCATTCAGATCAGTTAAGCATTAAATTGTGTTTGGCTGTAACCTATTAGTGAAAATTATTTTACATTTATATTTTCATTTTTGTAACAATTTTTTATAACTTTTTTCACTTCTACAATAATCTGCCAAGTGTCTTCTTTAAAAAGGGACCAACCTTAAGTCTATGCTCGAAGCATTCAAAATCTACAACAATTTAAGTTGGAAATGTCATTTTCAGGTCTATGCTCAAAAAGTGGAACCAACAGTTAACAGGTTAAAGTGTTACCGACTTGTCTGTCCAGGTACTGAGAGTAATGCTGTATGTATACTCCAGGATGTCTAGACTAGAGTATGTGCTATAAATATTGCAGCTCTAGCAAATGAAACTATTAGGCCTGTTTGTGCACAACAGTAAACAATTCCTCTATTTCCAATATGACATGTACCTCCCCGTGATCACAAGTGGCTTGTGTATGGCTGACTGTTCTCTTTGTGTAACTGGTAGATCTGTGCTGCCATAAAGCCGCAGAGTGCCTCTGACTGCCTGTTTCATTTGCTCTTGAAGGCTCGCAGCCTATTAGTTTGTCAGTGCAACACAGAGGCTGTTTCCTTCTACAGGCAATTAGACCCCAGCACACCGTGGCAGACAGCTCGTTTGTCCTGCTGCGAACCGTTATCTGTTATCATGGTCGCTTCCTCTGATCTAGTGTCATATAACCTGCAGGATATGCTGATGTGTTTTTCTCTGTAACAACAGTCTCGTTACGCGTCGGGATGTTGGCTCGCTGTGAGAGGGAGCTGGAGGGAGATCAGATGAGGCTTTGTGTTGCTGGTCAGGTGTGAGTGCAAACACTGCATGATGTAACAACAAGAGGAGCAAGGGCTCTGCTGGAAGGGTATTGATCCGGATCTGAGGAGAGAGAGAGAGAGAGAGAGGACGTCAGTGTGAGAGGTCAGACAGACACATGGGCTGTCAGAGGAAAGAACAGCTGAATGAGGCTTTAAAGGAATATTTCATGAAAATTCTCTCAGTATTTACTCGCCCTCGTGTCGCTTCGAACCGTATGCTGTTATATGTTCTGTGGAACGTAAAAGGAGAATTTTTGAAGAAAAAATATGCAGAACTATGTGGTGTGAATGAATGAGACTTGTTGAGGAAACATTTCAAAGTGGTCAGACTAATAATTTACAATCAGACTTGTGCTTGGTGGCAGGGTTATTATCTTTAACTAAAAATAAAATACCTTTGTTGTACATTGAAGTAAAGCTGAAATAAAATATAAAATAGGAAATAGGACGTGGCCTTGGCCTTGGCAACTAACTGAAATAAGTTACATGAAAATTACTAAATGGAAATAAATAAAAACTGAACTAAAACAAAACATAAAATGAAATACTAAAATATAAAAAATAATGACAGTAATAATAAAAATGACAACGGCACATTACAAAAAATACAAAAAATTAAACGAAAATTAAAATGAAAACGGAAAATATGAAAATAAATGCTATTTTAAAGGGGTCATATGATGCGATTTCAATTTATGTCCCCACTGGATGCAACAAATGCCTCGTTTATAATGGGTTTTAATGTTTTCGTCTCATCACTCCGGCCGGACAGGGCATCATCACAATATGGTAAGGAGCATAACATTTCCGTCACACGCTTGAGGTATTCGGCCAATCACAACACACTGGATAGCTGGCCAATCAGAGCACACCTCGCTTTTCAGACCGATGAGCTTTGTAAAAATCGATGCGTTTCAGAAAGGCGGGGCATAGAGGAGAAACAAAAATGTACAGTATGTGGAAAATAATGTGTTTTTTTAACCTTAAACCGCATAAACACGTTTCATTACACCAAATACACAAAATAATGTTCTTTTTAGCAACGTCATATAACCCCTTTAAAATAATAGTAATATAAGTAAGCACTATTAGTAAATATTATTACTAATATTAGTAGTAATTATAACTATTAGTAAAAACTATTAGTAAGTAATAATTATAACTATTCATAAATATTATTAGTATTATTAGTAATCCTACTATTAGTAGTAGTAACTATAACTATTAGTAAATATTATCTGAAAAAATTAGTAAATATAAAATTTTAGTGAAAACTAATATTTTACCAATAAATTAGCAATGTTACCACTAACATTACTAAATGCTAAAAGTACTAAAATGGACATAAATAAAAACTAAATCTAAAATAAAAATAATTTAAAACTAAATACGAATATGTATAAAATGACAGCAATAATAAAAAAAATAGCAGCACATAAAATTACAAAAATTAAACAAAAAAGAAAACCGAAAATATGAAAATAAATTCTATTCAAAAATATTTAAATATTGTAAGTAAATAGTCATTTCTAATCTCAACTAATATTATTGAATATCTTTCATTAAGTAGTTTCAAAACATAATTATTACATTTATATATAATTATTGCCTTATATTAAATGTGTATAAATTATGTAGTAATTGATCAATATTATTATATAGTTATTATGTAGTATATAATTTATATGTTTATTTAATTATTAGAGTTATTTGTAAAACTTTCGTTATTTTGAATTTAAGTTCATATTTTTTCCCTATTTATTAATTTCTAAACTTAAACTGTACAACCACATAGCAATGCACTAAAAACTGTTCAAAACTCCTAACTAGCAATCACATAGCAACACCCTTGCATTGGGTTGTGGACTTTTGTATGGGCGAGGAGCACCACTCATGTAAATGAACCCATGTAAATGTTACCCGTCTCTAGATGGATGTAGCCAAGACTCTGACTGCTGTAGGGAGTGTGTCAGCAATAATCAGCTGACTGACCTTTCCTGTTCCCTGGATGTTTTATCCCGTTTGTGGACAAAGGAGAGTTATAAATAGCCCGAGTGCACACTCCACTCATAGATCCAGCATGCTGTGAATATGAAAGGGGTCTGAAAATAGGACACACAGCCATAAAAAGCACACAGATCGTTGGTCGTATCACGATGAACAAGCACGTCATGTGTCTGGATGCTTTCATGCTTTGGTGAAGGTCTTTAGTTAGTAATATTTTGTATCCAGGTGGTGTCTCAGCAAACCTGGTGGGTACAATCGTCTGTTGTCTTCCTAAAGAGGTGTGGCGTACCTGTATTATAAAGAAAGATGCTCAGTAAAGGTCAGGCTGGGTGAGATAGCTAAAATATTGCGCCATCTTTCAGCCTTTTAATAATGTTCTATATGTCAGTATTTATGTATAGGAACATTTTAGCTGAATAATCATTGTTGGCAAGTAGATTATAAATATTTAATGCAAGATGTTAAATACTGTAAAATCTAGTTAAAATCATTGAGGCATGTTTTCCTCACTGTTTTTAAATGAACACAGAATGAATATTTAATCTTCATATATACGCACCAAAATAAGTGCATAGAAAATAGCAATATTTACCCACATGCACTATCGTTAAAAGGTATTTAGTACTTTTAAAAGTAGTTTCTTATGGTAAAAGATTCAGTAAAAAGTAATATTGTGAAATATTATTCAAATATTAATATTATCATTTCAATATTATACATTTAATTTTAATATTAAAATTTAATTTATTCCTGTGATGGCAATGTTGAAAACTGTTGTGCTGCTTAATATTTTTTTGTTAATACCATAATACATATTTTTCTGTTCTTTAATTAATAATCAAAATAACCATTTATTAAATAGATTTTTGTGTAACAATATAAAAGTATTTACTGTCATTTTTGATCAATTTAATGCATCCTTGCTTAATAAAAGAAGCAAGTAAGTGAATTAATTAATGATTTTTTTTTCTATTTTTACATGTCCCATTAATTAATGTTAGTTGATGAATTAACTAATATTGCTTAGCAATGAGCAACTGT